CACATAGCCCAAGGAAATCCATAAAATAAAATAAAAAATCCAGAAAAAAGAAGCTTGAAATAACAAAAATTGTGCTAATGATGTTTCTATGAATTTATTCTTTAAGCCCTCATCCACACACAACCTCTGTGTCATGATCAGCAACAAATATCGAATGGACTTTAGCCTTGGAACATGATTGATGGTGTTGATGCCCAAAGTCTGACTTGGAAACGTTGTCCACACCATCACACACACCAGCTGTCTGGACTCATGCTGTTGACACCAAATTCTGAGCCTAATTTTTGCAGCCTCATGCAGAATCCAGATTCATCAGACCAGGCAAACATTTAGCATACTTTAAGTGTCACGGATTGTGATCATGGCAGCTGATCATAGATTCTGGTGGTGGATCCTCACCCTGGATCATGGTGGCAGCTGATTATGAATATAACTAGATAGCTCCCTGCATCTTTGTTGGACATTTTCTTATGTATATTTATACTTAGACCATTGATACACCTCTTCATTTATGTTAGATGCTGTCTTTTCTCATGAATGTTGTCAACATTTTTATCTTATTGATGTGCTCTGCTTCTCCACTTCTGTCGTTCCCCTGTTTCCTTACTCTTGCTGAAGGTTAAGGACGGATGAAGTCCCACCTTGTTAAACCCTGTGAGACAGCCTGTGATTTGTGAATATGATCTATACAAATGAAATTTAATTGATTGACAACTGTATGATACTGTATATTTTAATGTGAGGTGGGTGGGATGCCTTCTTAGGATTTTTTTATTAAAATCCTGAAAAACCAGGCACCAGATATTCTAAGTTAAATATCTTCTGTGCATATGTGAGATGCAGTTGGGCAAAACACAGAAAAATCTGTTTTATTTCTGTTTTTCAAAAGATAAGTGATCTGTAGGGATCAGATCAAAAGACTCAGGGAAACTCAGAGACATTATTGTCGAATATTTTAGGCTGAACACTTCCTCTATCTCCCTCTCTCTATTCCTCTCTCTCTATACCTCACTCACTCCTTCTCCCTCTGCACTTCTGGTAATGGATCTAGTTGAATGGATTCTGAGAAACACAGGTCAAGAGAGGAAGAAGAGGGGAGGTGTGGTAAGGCAAGAGGAATGGAAGACTTGTTCCTTGTGTAATTGATAATACTAATTATTGGTGTTTTAATACGTTTCTAATTTATTGATATATATTTATACAGAGATTAGTTGCAGTTTTTGATATGTTTAACATTATAAAAACAATAAGCTATACTTGAATAATTAGAAGACCACATACGTCTGCAAAGGACAATGGCCCATCTCGCCATGTTCAATACAGAGGAATAAAAATTCCTGGATCTGCCCATTTATTCAGATCTACTGCAAAATTGCCCTATCCCTCCATACAATTTCATGGAAATCGGTTTACTAGTTTTTGCGTAATCCTTGTTACAAACAAATGCAGAAGAAAAAACCATAAACTCATTGACCAAGGTAATAATCATATACAGAGCCTCAACACAAAAACACACATCTTAATAAATGAACAGTTTTAACACCTGCTTTTCTCTTCCTTTCTGTTCCTCTGGAAGGGGAGGGGGAGGTGAACAAGCAACTTCACCTGCATATGCCACTAAATTCTACACATTGAACCTTTAAATCTACTTTTCTTTTTTTTGAGTAAGCCGTGCTATGTTCATTTTCGTACTATTCTGTAAATCACTCCTCCTTGTTTAGGTGGGTGGCGCCATGTGAGGTTCAAGGTTCAAGGGTTTTATTGTCATATGCACAACAATTACATTGAGCAGTTGCTGGCATTGAAATGCTCGAGTCCCCGGCCCCCCTTTAGACATGCTAAGATGTAAAAAATACATGCTGTTAGTTGGTGAGTGTCTTGAGCAGTTTAATGTGTCATAAAGGCTAGAAAAGCTGCTCTGGTTAGAATAGAAACACTTTCAGTTTTTGACAATTCTCAATGTTTTATCAGTTATAGATCCTCATAGGACAAGTGTATATCAGTGTGCTGTTTTTTATTCGATCACATTGGACACATTTACCAACTAACCTACGGACACAAATGTCTGTGTAAACTGTATTTATGTTTTGTTGTCACACAGTCCCTGAATTATCCCAGCTCACAACCCATTGTTTTCAGAATATAAAACCTTGACTCTGAATGTTGAGTTGTTGTGATGTCTGTCTCCACTGTGCTGTGAGTAAAACCCATCTGAACCAGCCACAGGCTGGCCCTGAAGGAATTGTATTCTTTCACAGATAGAAAGGAGAGGTGGAAAGAGAAGAATGGAGGATAGGAAGAGAGAAAAGAAGGGAGGAGGCGCAGAGAGTGATGCTGTATGGTTAATGATTTATCGCTAGGCACTTGATGGAATGAAGTGTCTTCATTAGTGGCGCCAAAGTTAAACCATCTAGTCAGTTAGTCTGTTATTCATTGATTTCTCTGGTCAGCACTAAATTTGTATTGAATATGACTGGCACCAGGGCTGTGTGTGAGTGTGTGTGCAGGGCTGGCTTACTGTGAAGCTACTGAACACTGGAGTTATGGGTGGAAAACTTTTTCCAGTTTTTCACCTGACCTGTCCACTGGCACAGAGAGAACTTCACACACACACACACGCACGCACACACGCACGCACGCACGCACACACACACACACACACACACACACACACACACACTCACTCACTCACTCACTCACTCACTCACTCACTCACTCAAGAACATTCACTTGATCCAAAATATATATATACATATATACAGTATATATATATATATATATATATGTATTCAGCTTTGGGAGCCCTCTTCACTCGAGTATTCAGTTAACCCTTTGTGAAAGTATTCTTTCCTTGAAAAGGTGCTTTTTCTTTCCATCCAGGCCACGGGGAATTTTAATAAAAAAAAGTTTGTTTTTGCATGAAAGTTTTAGCTTGGATTTTGGCGGCTTTGGCACTTCAACTGTTCTAGTGTCTTGTGAGGGGTTAGATGATAATTGCATATACTTATGCTGTAAAAAAAAAAATTATATGTGGTGCATACCCATCACATATAAAAACATTTTAGAAAAACATTAATAATAAAATATGTAATATATAGCCTAAAGTTACAGGTAATTGTAATATAGTAATTTAGATAATACTACATGATAAAATATATTAGCTAAACAATTAAAATCCTTTATATGCATCTCAGGCATTTATGGATGAGAAGTCAGCACTTTTGCTTAACAGAAGAAGTCCCTGCCTCTCCTATTGAAAAGATTACTTTGTTAATAAGGATGTCACAGTAAGAAACGCATGACAAACTGGTGTTACCCACTCTGAGGAAAAGATGTGAGCTGGCTCAGTGTCTTTAGAGCGCTTACTGAAATCTGTAATATTATTTTTCCCTGCTGGCAGCCTGCATGATGTGTGTACTGCTATCACTCTCTCTCTCTCTCTCGCTCTAACACATCAATGAACTGTTGGACCTTCAAAACTTCCATAACCTATTATCGTACCACAACATCAAATTCTCATCCTCCTTCATCATCTCCTCTGGTCACATGATTAGATTTTTCTACTCAATGATGTGACTCTACACTGCTGAAAGGGACAGAGTGAGAATTTGTTAACATAATATAAGAAAAAAATACTTAGATGTTTTAGAGAATTTTCTTATCAATAAGTCAGGGAAATAAGCAGTTTATTTGGTTTTACATGGTATAGCTGTAGGAACGCATAGGCAACACTTTAATTTTACAGTTTAGGTATTAGCATTATCCTGAGTGAAAGATAATAGCTGATAATCTTGGTTTGGATACAAGTTCAGCTCAGTGAGTCTGTATGACCATTTTGAATGCAATAAACCATAAAGAACAAGAATATGCCATTACTACACAGTAGTTAGAGTCATGCCACTTCTACAGCCTCACAGAGCACTTCGGCTGTGGCCTTTGTCCATCCCTTTTAATAGCTAAGATGATTTCTAAATATCCTGCCAATTATGTTCAGTGATGTCTTGATTATATCATTTAACATAACATAACACGTTCACATATAAGGGAAAATAGTGAAATTAAAAGAGGTGAAAGAAAGATTCTGGCCCACCCAGCCAACTTTGATCAAAAATACACTGTGTTACTTAAAATATATGAGAAAGGAAATAAGTGACTTGTACTGTATATTTTATTTTTCTTCTAAATAAAACAGAACCATTGAAATAAGCTGTAGGAATCATCTTGAACGTCAAAGTCAACCCTATGAGTCAGACTGACCATAAGCAGCATCAAGATAAACCCCACTCTTGTTGGTGTCTGGATGGATAATTTTAAAACAGCCAGGGCTGTCAGATTATGTATAATGCAGTGATGTCCTATGAATATATAAATAGTTATATGATCATACAGACACACACCCCCAAAAAAGAATGGAAATTAAATTTAACAGAAATGTACTCTAATAACACAGAGAACAATAATGAACAAGGTTTTCGTCTTTTGAAAATTGTTCCCCGAAGTCTGGGTAATCAGGAGACAAAAAAGAACATTCTAACCAACACATATCAAAAACTATCCACGTTTTTAAAGATGTGACCTTCTGTTTTTATTTTTATTGAACAGTTGTGCCATGCCCCTGAGCAGTTCCTGTCTGAAATGAGACAGACGGCCACACCACACTAGTTCTATTACTACATCTATAGATACCAGGAAAGACTCAATCTCATGTCATTCAATTGAACTATGTGTTTGAGATCAGATCTACTACGCACATGCCCAGTCAGAAACACAGCCTCTGATTGGTCGGCAAGTCAGGAACAACCACGCTAACAACAATAACTGTTTTAAACTCAGAGCAATGGATACATATTCACAGAAAACATCCAGTGTTGGAATTTCTCATTATGGATTTACGTCTCCAAAAAGACAGTAAAGTTCAAGGCTGGATTAAAAAATTTTCTGAAAGGGATATGATCAATGCAAAGCCCTTATTGAAATGGCACAATGCTACCATTCTGAGCAAAATAAGTAAGTCTCTAGCACGCACCGTTCCTGAGATAAAGTTTTTAATCTTTGGGGTACTATGTCTTTTGATGTCATCTACTTGTGGGGGTTAAACCCAAAATAGGGTGTTTAGGCAGTGTTTTGCTGTCATTGTCTTTGTCATGCAGAGTGTTGCTAAGTAAAATAAGTTTTGCCCTTTTTTCCACTTTCATTTTACGTTTTAATAAGTCTTTTTTTTTTGCAAATAGATGGACCACCATCTTTTGTGCAGGCCCATCTATAACATTATTTATGGGTATGGCAATGTAATGTAGAATGAGTGGGGGTAGACACAGTCACACACATAGAACACTGCGACTGAGTTATTCTCCCCAAAAAATCCTTATACTGAAGTTTGTAATTCAGTGTGACAAAAAATATCAATAGTAAATGTAAAATGACAACAGGATATTTACAGTATCCAGGTCTAGTTTGGTGTTGTTCTGTTTGTATCACACCATCGATTGCATCCCTTTCAAAAAAGTACCATCAGAAAACTAAAACACTGGGAGAAATCATGGTGTGAAAAGATCCATCCATCACTGTCCGTCTCCATCTGTCTGCCTTCCTGTTTGTGGCTGTGTCACTGGAGACCCTCTCAGTTGACACATCCCACCCTCTGGCTGACACACTGTAAGGTCTGCAGCTGACAGGTGGCAGTGGATTTCCATAAGGCAATAGCACAGGAGGGCCAGTTTTTAATTTTGATTCATTTATTGCTTCTTTTGCATAGACACCCTCACTGAAAGATGTATCAAGATATGTCAGGATGATGGTGTTCAGTATTGTTTGACTAGAAAAGGTAACATGTTTTAATCTCATGTCTTCAAGCTTAGATATTTATTTTTTATTTATGTTATGAAAAAACTGTAGGAACTAACAAAGTATGTGGATCATTTTTCGAAAATAATGTGGATTTACTAAATCGACTCAACTTACTAATGTCTGTCTTTCCCATTACTCTTCCTTCACATACATCTTGCCTCACACCTACTCCATAAAGGACATAAAACCATTCTGAATGTCTGTGGTCGGGTCAG